GGGTGAGTATATTCCCACGTTAATACCGATCAGCGGTGCACATCAGAAGAGCAGCTGCTTCCATTTGCCTGACATGTCAAGAGGACAGGTTGGCCTTGCCCAGATATGATCCTAAATACACAAATCAAACATTTATAAAAGACTAAAAAGAGCAGCAGCAGAGAGTAAATGTAAGACATTTTATTTTACATACAAAAAGGGTGCAAACGGGAGCCCCTACCCCCCAAAAGGGGAAGGGGAGTAATTAAAGATCACATTTGTTGTGTTTCTTATGATGCCCTACTCAATGGGCAAATCAGAAAGAGACCAACAGTAAGCAGGACCCATTTTCTTGATGGAAAGGAGCTCCCTGTGGAGGGGTCTTCCCCATGGTATAAGCCCTTATCCTGGTTGAACCATTTCAAACACGTTGTAAATTGACATTCATGTTAAAAAATACTACAAGTTCTATGTTCACAGCTGAGCTTTGAGACCAGTGCCTGAAATATGAATAAAACATTGCATTACATACTTAAAACAAGAGAAAAACTCAAGGCATTTTAAACAAGAATCTGACATCCACGCAATATTTAAAAAATGATTTCCACAGCCGATTTTCATATATTTTACAGTAAAAAAGTTGCAATCAACACCCCCTCAAAAGTACAAAGGGTTAAATTAAAGGAATAGACAAAATAAATTACAGCTTGTAAAGTTTCCAGTGGGGATTAATCACTTGACAGGATTTCCTGTTTGGGGTTTATAATGCTATTTGGTATAATCTACACGTTCCCAGAACATATTCTTCTCTCGCTGTGTGATAACATACAAGACTTTACCAGGACCAGCTTGCAGTTCTAGTTTGGTAAGAGAACTTGTCACTTGTTTTTGCCAAGTGTTCCTGGAAGAAAACAAGGTTCTCAGAGTTGCTTGCACTGTGCAGTTAGAGCTATACAGACGGGGAGCGAGCATCTCCTGATCCTTTTCCCGAGACACTCTGAAAAGGATTAGACAAGTCTTTTAAAGCCTTTTCCTACCTCTATTCCTCCTGACTTGGCCTGCACCTGTGATTTGGGCAGGGCAGACAACAGAGAACTGTCCCCATCGATCACTGTCAGCTGGACGGTTTCTCTTCACTCTTGGAGATCAGAACCTGGCCCTTGCTTGGTATTGGTATTAATTCTGTGAAGTCCCAAGGCTCTGATCTCTTGCCCTGGAAATACTTGTGATGTACTAAAGAGCATGTGGGGACAGGAGCAAGAAAGGAAAGATTTCTTAGAGTCTGAAGTTGGTCAAACTAGAGACATGCCCACTGTTATTTCAGACCTTGAAGCCCAGCTTTACACACACACACCTTTACACAAATACTGAAGTGGGGTTCCATTTGGACGTGGGGAATACATGTTTCTGAATAGATCTGAATCAGCATCGGTCACCTATTACTGTACAACTATTAAACTGCAGCCTGAGAAACCAGTTCTGTTACAGTCAGTTATCTGGCAAAGTAACTGAAAACACCAAACACTTTAAAACCTGTACTCGCTCAATTACAGAAAGAGTCCTAGAGCACAGCACTGCCAAACACTGTGCAAACTGCAAGCACCCTGTGGAGGGGAATGCTCATCTAGAAGTTGGTAACCGAAGCCTCACTTGCAAACCAACCCTGACAAAGATGGAGCTGGCAGCTGTTACTCACAGTAAAGTCTTCAAGCTGGTCAGACTTTTCCTGAAACTTGAGTGGTATTGTGGAAAAGCAAAAGGTTCCCAATCTATAGTGCCTTTAAGCACTGTACCTCATGTATGTTGGTTTGCAGGGGAGCACAGGATGAAAGCTATGTTTGTACGGACACCATTTCTGGATTTCAGGTCCCCCTGGGGGTTTAAACAGCATTCCCTCCAATCTGAACTAAACACAACCAAGGGAGGGCTCAGCTCAGCACTCTCCAGCTTGCTCTCTACTAACAGAAGCCATGCAACAAGCTCCAGGACCCAGGCACGTTACTCATGTCCGAATCCAGGGTCAAAATGGAATACTATGAAGTTACTGCTTGCTAATTTGTTACTAGAAAGAGTCAAAGCACAAGAGGAGATGGACTCCTAGAGAGGTTTTAAAGAGCCAGGGGAAGGACGTTTTGAGGTTTCTTTTCCTTTTCAAAGAGCATGAGTGTTCCTGGGAGCACTGATTCCGGAAACTAGGAGATACAGGTCATGCAAAAGAGTGATTACTTCAAAGGCTGTGATTAAGGAGTAAGGTTTCCAACTAAGCAGACCCTGGCATTACGCAATTACTAACACTGAGACTCACCACTGACAGAATGCTATATGTGCATTTTCTGTCTATATTGAAAGCTACTTTTAGAAGATGCTTCTTTTGGCTAATAAGGAGCAGCTGCTTTAATGCATTTTTCCCAACTGTACTGAGAATAAATAAGCAATTGCTATTTGCATGCTGGAAACCTCTTGATCGTGGCAGTTCAGTAGATTAGTTGATTCGTTTCAACTACCCAAGTACGTGAAGTATTCTGCTTACTAGATACCTGGTACACAAACACCTGTCCCTCACATTACACATAACAGAGCAGCTAAATTATGGCCAATGAGGAAGACAGTGCTCAGCATGAGTGCAAATCGTTCCCACCCTCCACCATGGGCTGAGGTTTCTCAGTGTTGCACCCATCATGCTGGTGTTGTGTTCTGCTTAGATTCTGATGTGGACTGAACATAGCTCCAGCGTTCAGCTAGGAGTGAGGAGCTGCTGCTGAATTTTCAGTTCAGCTTCTCTGTAGTGTATGAGGCAGGAGCACGCCATGTCCTTGCCATTTGGGAAAGACCCATTTGATGCTGTGCCCCACTAAGTTATCGACAGAAGGACGACTGATTATGCTCAATGTGGCTAGCACATTTCTCATTGGTTCACATCGTCATGTCCAAACAGTAGAGCCCCAAAGTCACCTATGATGGTGCCTTTCATTTACCAGGGAAGTGCGGAGAAGAGGGTTAGTTCCAGCATTCCTTAAGCAAGCTGTATAAGGCTGGACTGTTCATGGCTTTAAAGAAAAATAAAGCATTTCAAAAGCTCCCGCACTGTACATGGTCCCCTCGCAGAGGATTTCAGAGCTGCTTTAGTACAGCATGGAAGGGTTAGAGAACCCAGATTGAAGCAAAGAAAACATCTGTAAGGGTTCTCAGGAAGGGGTAATAATTACATCTATACATGGAGTTCAAGACAGCAGTGCAATATTTTATTGAAAACCTCACTTGAGACCTCCGGATACTGTAATGCAACTTTTGATGGGTCCCTGCTGCAGGGGAGCCACGCCTGGAAATCCAACTGCAGTATTAGGCCATGCGAAGGAAGCGCTGGACAACCAGACGCTGCTCCTGCTCAGCAGCTCCACTGGTCAGCTGTGATCTGAGAGTCTCTCCTCTCACTTTCTTGAAGAATGCAGGAATGTACTAATACATGAACTTCCAGTGGGGGGGAGAGGCAGGGAATTCATTAATGGAGGTGGGGGTCAATGCTTAAATTTCCTACTGTAAGATGGGCCCACTTGATCTGGCTTTTATCACCAATCACTTCTTGAACTTCCTGGGTCAAATAGTTTCCTTGGAATAGGACTTACTTTTTACCCGCTTTTTACATCCTTTGCCCTTCTGAAGAGTCCAATATGCGACAATAGTGCAAGAGGGCTTGGTATAAGTGAGCATTACCAGCATGCCTGGGGAGAAACATTCCCGCCCTCATACGCATTATCATAGGATTAAAAGAACACTATCTCCAGAGCAAAGCAGTAGTTGGGGTCACCATGAAATGGCTTTCAAACTGACCCACTTAAAAACAAAGGAAAATTTCTTACCAATCAAATACATTCGCTTATGTAAAAAATATTTAAGAACCAAAACAAAGTAGACACACTCCCCTCCTCACACGTACTTTGCAAACTACAAGCTACTCCCTGATTGGAAAGAGTTAGGAATGATTGAACGATGTCAGGAAATGCAGAAGGAACTGAGTTTCTCCTCTGAGTTTTGGTGACAGGCACTTAATGGGGTTTAGGAGGGCAGCAATGCATGTGTCTCTGGGCCCAGTGAAATCTGGAGAGCTGGGTGCATACAGCTGCTTTTTCCTCACAAATTCCTGCGCTTCCTTCCCCCCAAAGATGCCGAACCATGGTTTCCTATGGTGAGTGTAAGGAAATGTTCATTTCAAACAGCCTGACTTTTTAGAGAGCCAGCAGCCATGGAAGAGTACCGGAACAGGCTGAGCAGCAAAACGACTTGATTGAATGTCCCCTCCCCTCCTCTCCCTGGGCACAAGAAAAGGAGTTAGGGAGTTCAAGTAGCCATACGCAAGGGGGAAGAGAAGTGTTTTCCTTATGCATCCCATTTGTTACACTTAGGGAAGCTTCTTGCAGAACAAAAAGTGGATTTACAAATCTCTTGGGCTAGCGAATGAAGAGCAGCCAGCTGCAGCTTAACTTCCCACAGGTGGCAGAGAGGAAGAGAATAGCAAAAAGCTTGGCTACAGCTGCTTGCTTTCCATTTGAGTAAGGCATTAAGATACTAGTAGCTAATGGCTAAAAACTGTAAAGGACCCCCAAAGGGATTCGCAGCAAGACCAGGGTGCTAGGCTGAGTTCCATGCTACACACCCTAACCCCTGCACTGCACTAGAGTGCCTGCTCGCTTACCTTCCTGCTGCTCCGCTCACTCCTGAAATGCACTCACCCCCCTTGAAGGGGGAGGCAAGCCCAGCTCCCATGGCTTCCCTTCCAGCTCGTGCCATTACATGCCCTTGGAAGCAGCTGGACTGTCATTCTGAAGAGATGGTATATTAGAGAAAATCTGCCTCAACTCTCTGTAGGGATTTCAAGCACTGAGGTGGGGGACAGCGAAAGCCCCTGAAACGAGGGGGCTGATCCCATGCTGGTGGAATATGCAGACAGGCAAAGCATGAGGAACCAATGTCTAGCCTCCACAAAAAAGCTCCTGTAACCCTATGCCACACCCCTCCCTCCCCCACCCCCCCCCAGCTGCCTCAGCACACTTTGCAAGTGAACTCATATCCCAGCGCAGGGACTAAGCCCATTGCTAAGTGATGGTTGGCTCAAAACGGGCGTGCTCCCCCTCCAGGAAAGCCTCATGCTGTGTGCTCCAGGCCCCACAGAGCCCGGACAGCCTGCAGAGCACGTCTCAAGCCCACACAAGGTCTGATTTGAGTAGCTTATGGGGCCACCTGCAGATGCAGTCACTGTAAGGCAGTTAAGTGTCGATTCCCTGCTGGGGTAGCTTTGCTTCTCTAACATTACCACGGTAGAGTATTCAGTACATTGAAAGAAAGGTGCTTACTCCACAATCAACCTCCCAGACGCCATCTGAGATTACGAGGCCACCCAGCTGCCCAGTGGGAAAGGTCAGCTTCCCAGTTACGTAATCGACAGCTGCTGCGCTACCCCAAGGAAACTCCTCTCGCTCAGCAAGACTGAAGCCTCTCCCTGCTCCAACAGAGAGCTAGTGCCTTCCAACTGCAGGCTGGTTGTGTCAGGCACCGGGTAGGAAACCATGGTAGGGCCATTCACTGGCAGCTACAAAGAGGGATTCAAAATTCAAGTAGGTTTCTCTCAGCACACAACCAACACGGGGCAGTAGGAAGCCCAGGCTGGTGTTAGGGTTTTGTGGATGTTGCAAGCAAACCCCCGTTGAGGACATTCTTTGTAACGCCCCTCCCTCCCACATTCCCAGCTGATGTCTGTGCCGGCATCACTTGTCCCTGTGAGAATCTACAGACACAATATGCATCTGTAATGCTAAAAATAATAAAAAGTGCAACAATGTCAGTTTCTTTAAAACAATCCGCACTGCTCTGTTACTGTCTGGAGAAGGGAGTGGTGAAGGAAGCCAGAGCGCCCAAGGGACTGGAACAGTAGATTGCAAGTCTGACTGCAGAATAACTGTTCCCAAGGAGCCTAGGAGGGAGCCTGTCTCCCACTGCTGTACCTGGCCAGGCTGGCGAAACAGGCTGATGCCGAAAAGGGTTTTGGGGAGAAACTGCCCCATACCAGCCAGGCCCTTCTCCCACGTGTCTTTCCTGCCCAACCACGGGTCATCCTGCCCTTAGCCGTCAATGGGTATTTCCATTGGGGAAGGAGGACGACGGAGGGCAGAGAGTGCGAGGGGGAGGAGGGGAAGTGAGCAGGAAACAAAGCATAGTTCTCAGGTTTGTGAATGATGCCTTCTGCCGTAAACAACGGGAAGGAGGGTCAGCCAGCCAGTCTGCCTGCCCTCTGGGCAGCCAAGGCCTGAGCCAGCTGCAGTCCTGATCCCAAAAGGAGCGTCAGGCTCGGAGCGAACGAGGAGCCCGTTGAGCAGATCCACCCTAGAGCAGTTTGTTTTGGAACAATTTTCTTCTCTCTTTTTGGTTTAAAGTGTCACTTTTCTCTTCTTCCTACGCCGCCGCCTCCCTCCTAGAGAGAAGCCCCTTTCAGTGAGACAGGGCAGGAGCTGCAGGTGGAGTTCCCACAAGACCCCAGGAGGCACCGGTCACTTGTGACGCTGGGCAGTCTTCTTCCTTTTCCTCTTAAAGAAACAGCAGCACCTAGAGCAAAGGACACAGCAAGTCAGTAGAGTGGCCCACACCCTCCAGCAGGCCCAGCGTGGGCTTCCCTTCAGAGTGCATGCGGTGGGATCTCTACATGCCCAGCAGCACGGACAAAACAGACCTACCAACATCTCCTCCAGCAGGAGGAAAGTCCACGAGGCCAGCAGCAGACCAGTCTAGCCCACAATAGCAGGGGCAGCAGAACTGTGCTCAGACTGCATGCCAAGGGCCAATGGGAGCCAGGTGTTTCACACGCTGGGATTTGCTGTTTGGAAGAGGAGGGTCAACTGATCGCTACTGTTAATGTTTTGCTGATACCCACAGGATCAGGGACTGGTGCCAGGTGCTGCATGAAGCACAAGTCCCTGCCCCAAGGAGCTTTAGTGAGAACAAGGAAATAAGACAACAGTACGGGAGGCGGATGAAGATTTGCAGGAGCACCGGGATCTCCCATTGCTGGGAGTGAAGGAAACAAGTGAGAAACACAAAAGGGCCGTTTCCCTCTCCCTAAAACCATTAACAGCCTGTGTCCTAACAGGTGCAGGAACGGTTGGAGCCAAGCCTGCCTGAAGGTTTCCAGCCACATAACGTGCTGTGTTTCTAAACTGCTCATGAAAAGGACTAGTTCTGAGAAGGTCCGACTGGGAGACAGCTTCCTTTACTGAGCCCTTGATGGATGGCAAACAACAAAAGTTTCAGTTTAAAGGACAATGGTTTAGTCTGCAAATATAACCCCTACTTCTTCCCTCATCTGAAGGCTCGGTACGCAGTGAATAGGGAGGCAGGAAGGAGGAAGCAGAGGTGGTGTGAAAAAACACCCTTCAAAGCTGATCCCTGAAAGACTGAGGTTTCACTTGCCCAAGACACCCAGTCTCAGCTCCACCAATCATTATATGGTATTAGAGACAAATCTCTAGTCTTTGTTTTCAGGGCCCAGTGTCAGGAACATCAGCATGGAAAGATCTTTGTACGTTGCAAATTCATCTGCTTCTGTACTGCTTTGTCCCTTCCCCATGACATCACAACAATTTCCTCAATGACCAGCTGTCACATTAGGGATTACGGCCTTTGAGAAGGAAGGAGGAGGACATGGAACAGGCAGAAAGGTCTGCAAAAGCCCTGTTATCATGTAAGGACACCCAGTATGCACACGGAGCAAAGGCATTAAGAAGCCAGGCCACAGAACAGCAGCAGCATCTCCAGGCAGACTCACTGTCTTATTGAGTCAGTGGTGGCTCTAAACAAGCTTTTCATGTTGGTATTTATCGGAGAGCTGAAGTACACACTGCTGCCCCTGAGGAGTGGATGCCATCTTCTGTCTCAGCCCAATTATTTCTGGAAACACTTAATCGTCTTAGTAAGTGAGACACGAGTCTGGCAGCCTCCAGAGCAAACCCAGATACAGAAATGGCAATAAAGTGACAAGTGTCCCTAGACCATGCTTGCCTGTGTGCCTCAGCCATGGCCAGCAGCAAGCACCCCTCCAGTGATCGGCAGTTCCACCTCCAGGGCTCATTCTTAACTCCCCTTCAGAGACTTCCCTGGGGGGGGGGGGGGGGAAGTGGTGAACATGAGACATGAACGTCCTGTCACTAGCAAATGGATGATTTCACACAGGTCCTGCCTAGCCATCAGCTGGTACTAATTCTGGTCACACCACTCTAAGATGGTTTGGAATGAGACAGAGGTTCATCAATTTGAAGGTGAGAGGGGACGACTCATCTGATCTGCATAACACAGGCTATCGAATTTCCTCGTGGTGACCCACCCATGTCCTGAACCACCCATGTGGCCTCCTTTAACCATGCAGGACCCTCTGTTTTCCTCCCACTTTCTTCAGGAGACGGGAACTACCACTTCGAGAACAGGACAAGCCTGAAGGATTATCAAAAGTCTATGATGAGGGAAGAAAAACATATGGCCCAGATTCACTCACTACCTGGACTGAAAGGGTCTGACTAATTTCTAGCTGCTCTTTTCAGCCATCTCTTTCCGTGGGGATTGGTTTGCTCTCCTTTGGCCCCCATTGCTCAGAGGGCTTCTTGGCTCAGTTTGGAAGGGTTCAGGAAAGGAAGTTGTGAGTTGTTAACAGGCAGAGGTAGAAACAACAAAAAGACAGGCTGACAGTTACAGAGCGTGACCTTTGTGCGTGCAGACAGTGTCTGAACAGCCCCGAGCACGACACACAGAAGCCAAAGAGATGCCAGAGGTACCAGTGGAGGCAGTGCCAGTGGACAGGGGGGCAAAGGAGGACCAGTCTGCCATTAAACGGGAACATTCTCCACCCCAGAGGGGGGCCATGAGGTTCCAACTCCCTACCTTCTACTCCCGGCTCTGTAGCTGAATAGGGGCTCCCCAAACCCACTTTGAGACAAGATGAGAGTGAGTGGACAGAACCCAGAATTTCTGGATTTTAACCTTGTCTCTGCCACTGATTTCTGTATTATCTAGGGCAGCTCACTTCACTTCTGCGCTTCAATTTCCCCATCAGTAAAACCAGGGCTTCGTGCTCCCTAGAGGGGTGTCCCAGAAGTTCCAGTGCAGTGCTCGGAACGCACACTGTACTAGAGAAGTGCTGAGCATTACGGGGTAGGAGATGCTGCTGATGGTAGAGGGAACCACTAATGCCACAGTAGGCTCAGGCAGCAGCTACTCCAGCCTGTAAGCTCTCTCAGATGAAAACCTTGGTCTTCCCCCCACAATCCTTGAGCTGCAGAAACTTGCTGGAAGACAAAAACACACTCCCCACCAACCTGGAGCAAGATCAGGGGTTCTCAGCCTGAGGGCCATGACCAGCCTGCCTTTTCCAGACAGCCCAATGAGAAGGAGGTTCGAGGTAGGAGGATGGAGGTCTCGTGATGGAAGAGGAAGACGACCATGGCTCTAGCCCACCACATCTGTTGATGGGAACCCTGCTCTGCTCACGTTCATATTCACAAATCCTCCAAAGGAGCAGCAGACCCCCACTTAAGGGCAAGCACAATGCTCCCAGGAACGTGGTATGATCAGCTTTCCACCCCAAACCATCTGTTGTGAAAAAAACTTAACACAGCGAATAGTCCTGCAGCACCTTAGAAACAGGCAAAACATGCAGATGGTATCATGAAGTGGGCCGTGCCCACAAAAGCTCTTCAGAGGAATACATGTTCTTCAGGCTGTGCCCACGAAAACTCACGACACCATCTACATGTTTTATAGTCTCTAAGGTGCTGCAGGGCCATTGGTTCTTTCAAGTTTTTTCTATTCCAGCCTAACGCAGCTCCCCTCTGAAACATCTGTTGTGAGGAATTCCCGTGAGAGATTTGGCAGCCTGGTCCGGCCTCTGCCCAACTCCTTTAGACATTATCTGCTCACACACTTGCATGTTTGGTGAAAACATTAAGCTGAACGGATAAAGGATGAGAAATTTTTTTAGATTTTAACGGATCAGTCCAAAGATTCGTTTAATTGCTTGGGCCTACTGCGGCCTCCTCTTATGCACACACGCCCATCCTGCATGTGTTCCCCACCCGCTAGCAATAACTGCACTGGCTTGGATTTCTAACTTGTGCAGCTATTCAGACTGTTTTGGTTGGTTTGATTTTGCCAATCCCAGTCTAGTCTGGTCCGCTCCCCCTTGCCCGTGGACCGGCGAGAGGGACTCACCACAAGTTGAGCATTTTCAGGCAGCTACAGAGAGTGTGTAGAGAGAAAAACACAGAAAGGAAGAAAGAGCAATTAGTTCACAGAGGTGGGATGAAAGCATGTCACTGCAAGCCATGCAAACATGCAGTGCAGACTGGCAGACACACGCCTGGCCCACCCGCCCTCTCTTCCCTGCTCCATCTCAGACCCCGTAGCACATCGCAAAAGACACCCTGACAAGTCGCTGCAGAGAAGCAGGATGTGCTTTCCCTGTCCTGTGGCCTGGCACAAACATCCCTGGTCAGCGGAGGGTTAACAAGGAGTGAGCATCCGGGATGTCCCTGGCTGGGAAGGTGCCCGGCCAGCCAAGAAGGGGATCCAAACTACAGAGGGATGGACACCAGATGGCTTATGTGGCAAGGAGATGCCATGTTCACCACAGCTGCTGGGGTTAGGGGGGCCCTTCACAAACAGAGTCTGCAGCATTTTCACCAGCTTCCCTTGCCTGCCCACAGACCCTACTTTTCCCAACACACTTCCTCACAAACTCAGAGGGCCCCAGGGAGTCCAGCATATTTCAGGCTGCCTGCAGAAAAAAGCGCCATAACCGAGGGGAGAACAAATCTGGACTCGTGTGACACACACATCTTGCAGGGAGAGAGCAGACATCTCACTTAGTGCCGGGAACTAGCAGACTCCATCAGGTGATCATGACCAGATCAGCCAGTACAAGACAGTCCCCACCAGAATGCCATATGAACAGCTACTCTTCTCCACCAGAGACCCACAAACCACATCACCTAGGACTGGAGGGGGGACACTGACTCCTCCTGTGGAGAACACGCAGGGTAACACTGTCCCGCCTTGCGCGCGCGCGCACCCACCCACACCCCCCCCCGCTGATGCCAAGACAGGCTAAACGGGTATGTTATTTGTACTGTGGTAGTGCTGAGGAGCCCCAGTGATGGCCCAGACCCCCATAATGCTAGGGGCTGTTCAGACACAGAACAGCGAGACAGCCCGTGCCCCACAGGGCTCTGCTAACTCTCACATCTGGCCACGAGCAATGGCTGGGGCCCAAACTGCAGAGCCGAGAGCTGTGTTGGTTAGGAGACTACAGGCCACATCTACCAAAGTTTGCATAACCAGCTCCAGCCAGTGCTCTGCTAGAGGTGCAGCCCACAGACTACATGTCCCAGCAAGCAAAGCAGCAGTCATGCCGATCAAGACAGCATTGTTCAATAGGACCTGTAGTCTCTGTGGGCTGCACTGTCCCCAAACTCCCCTTGTGCACACCTCCCAGCCCACCTCACAGCCCTTCAGCTCTTGGATCTCTTGGCTGGGAAGGGAACAGACACCTTATGAGGGCCCCTCACCGGATGAACCAGGCCTGCAGAGAGTGAGGGAGGGCTGCGTTCTGAGCATGCCCAATCCGGGTAAGCCTGCTCACTGTATGCCAAGCAGCAAGCTTGCAAGAGACCCTGCAAGTCTGCTCCTCTGGTCCAGGTCATGGAGAAATTCCCAGCATGAGAGCCAGTTCAAAGAGCCTGACTGAGTCTTCTACCGATCAGTGACTTGGGCTGAAAGCCCTTCCTGAGTCAGAGGAGGGGGCAGGCACAGGGCTGCAGCCCTTGTGCGGAGCAAGCTCCATGTCCTAGCTCCTGCCAAAGGAAGATCATGCAAAGTGCCACCTGGGGGTGCTAGAGGGCAGCACACATGCAACAGACGCACAGTGGCAAGACAGCAATTCCTTCCCTCCCTCCAATCCCCAACAAGCTACGGATGGGACAGCCGGTCCCCCACACCAGCAGCCTGAA